GCTGGGAAAAGGTTTATCAAGCAAATGGTCCTAAGAAATGAGCAGGTGTGGCCATACTAATTTCGAACAAAGTTGACTTCAAACTAAAATCAATCAGAAGAGATGGAGAGGGACATTTTATACTCATAAGAACAATTCATCAGGACAAAGTCTCAATCCTGAATATCTATGCCCCTAATATAAAAGCACCCACTTACGTAAAAGAAACATTACTAAAACTCAAGCCAGTCATCAAACCACACACACTGATAGTAGGAGATTTCAACACCCCTCTCTCACCAATGGACAGGTCAATCAGACAGAAACCTAACAGAGAAATAAGAGGATTAAGGGAGGTAATGAATAAAATGGACTTAACAGACATCTATAGATCATTCCACCCAAATAGGAAAGAATATACCTTCTTCTCTGCAGCTCTTGGAACCTTCTCAAAAATTGACCACATACTCAGTAACAAAGCTAACTTACACAGTTACAAAAAAATTATTAGTAACCACTTGTGTCTTATAGGATCACCATGGATTACAGTTAGAATTCAACAACAATGCTACCCCTAGAAAGCCTATGAACTCATGGAAATTGGACAGTCAACTACTGAACCACACCTGGATCAAGGAAGAAATAAAGAAAGAAATTAAAGTCTTTCTTTGAATTCAATGAAAATAAAGACTCAACATACTCAAACCTATGGGACACTATGAAAGCAGTGCTAAGAGGAAAGTTCATAGCACTAAGAAAACGGAGAAAGCACACATTGGAGACTTAACAGCCCACCTGAAAGCTCTAGAAAAAAAAGAAGCAGATTTACCTAGGAGGAGTAGAAGACTGGAAATAATGAAACTAAGGGCTGAAATCAACAAAATAGAAACACAGAAAACAATCCAAAGAATCAATGAAACAAAAAGCTGGTTCTTGGAGAAAATCAACAAGATTGATAAACCCCTATACAAACTAATCAAACGGTGGAGAGAGAATACACAAATTAACAAGATCAGAAATGAAAAGGGAAACATAACCACAGACACAAAGGAAATTCAGAAAATCATTAGATCTTACTACAAAAGCCTCTATGCCACAAAATTGGAAAATGTTAAAGAAATGGACACCTTTTTAGATAAATACCATATACCAAAATTAGACCAGGACCAGATGCACAATCTAAATAGACCTGTTAGTCGCGAAGAATTAGAAGTTGTTATAAAAAAAAACCTCCCTACCAAAAACAGCCCAGGTCCAGATGGTTTCAATGCAGAATTCTACCAGAACTTCCAGGAAGACCTAATACCTATACTCCTTAATGTATTTCACAATATAGAAACAGAAAAGTCATTGCCAAATTCCTTTTATGAAGCTACAGTTACCCTGATACTAAAACCACACAAAGACTCAACCAAGAAAGAGAATTACAGGCCAATCTCACTCATGAACATCGATGCGAAAATCCTCAATAAAATACTGGCAAACCGAATCCAAGAACACATCAGAAAAATTATCCATTATGATCAAGTAGGCTTCATCCCAGAGATGCAGGGCTGGTTCAACATACGAAAATCTATCAATGTAATCCATTATAAAAATAAGCTGAAAGAAAAAAGCCATATGATCATTTCATTAGATTCTGAAAAAGCATTTGACGAAATTCAACATCCCTTTATGATAAAGGTCTTAGAAAGATTAGGGATACAAGGGTTATACCTAACTATAATAAAAGCCATTTATAGCAAGCCGACAGCTAACATCAAATTAAATGGAGAGAAACTCAAAGCCATCCCACTAAAATCAGGAACACGACAAGGCTGTCCACTCTCTCCATACCTTTTCAATATAGTGCTTGAAGTTCTAGCAATAGCAATAAGACAACATAAGGGAATCACAGGGATTCGAATTGGAAAGGGAGAAGTTAAACTTTCATTATTTGCAGATGATATGATAGTGTACATAAGCGACCCCAAAAACTCCAGCAAAGAACTCCTGATAAACACTTTTAGTAGCGTGGCAGGATACAAGATCAATTCCAAAAAATCAGTTGCCCTCCTATACACAAAGGATAAGGAAGCAGAGAGGGAAATCAGAGAAGCTTCACCTTTCATGATAGCCAAAATAGCATAAAATATCTTGGGGTAACTCTAACCAAGGATGTGAATGATCTATTTGACAAGAATTTTAAGTCCTTGAAGAAAGAAATTGAGGAGGATACCAGAAAATGGAAGGATCTCCCTTGCTCTTGGATTGGGAGGATCAACATAGGAAAAATGGCAATTCTACCAAGGACAATTTATAGATTCAATGCAATTCCCATTAAAATCCCATCAAAATTCTTCACAGATCTTGAGAGGACATTAATCAACTTTATATGGAAAAACAAAAAACCCAGGATAGCCAAAACAATCTTATACAATTAAGGAATTTCTGGAGGCATTACCATCCCTGACTTCAAACTCTATTACAGAGCCTCAGTATTGAAAACAGCTTCGTATTGGCATAAAAACAGAGAAGTCGATCAATGGAATAGAGTAGAAGACCCAGATTTTATCCCACAAACCTATGAACACCTCATTTTTGATAAAGGAGCTAAAAGTATTCAATGGAAGAAAGAAAGCATCTTCAACAAATGGTGCTGGCAGAACTGGTTGTCGACCTGTAGAAGAATGAAAATAGATCCATATCTATAGCCATGCACAAAATTCAAGTCCAAATGGATTAAAGACCTCAATATCAGGCTGAACACACTGAACCTGATAGAAGAGAAAGTGGGAAATACTCTACAACATATGGGCACAGGAGACCACTTCCTACACATAGCCCCAGCAGCACAGACATTAAGGACAATATTGAATAAATGGAACCTCCTGAAACTGAGAAGTTTCTGTAAAGCAAAGGACACTGTCACCAAGACAAAAAGGCAACCCACTGACTGGGAGAAGATATTCACCAACCCTGCAACAGACAAAGGTCTGATCTCCAAAATATATAAAGAACTCAAGAAACTAGACTTTAAAATGCTAATTAACCCAATTAAAAAATGGGGTACTGAACTGAACAGAGAATTCTCAACAGAAGAAATTCAAATGGCCAAAAGACACTTAAGGTCATGCTCATCCTCCTTGGTGATCAGGGAAATGCAAATTAAAACAACTTTGAGATACCATCTTACACCTGTCAGAATGGCTAAAATCAAAAACACCAATGATAGCCTTTGCTGGAGAGGTTGTGGAGGAAGGGGCACACTCATCCATTGCTGGTGGGAATGCAAACTTGTGCAACCACTTTGCAAATCAGTGTGGCGATTTCTCAGGAAATTCAGGATCAACCTACCCCAAGATCCAGTAATACCTCTCTTGGGAATATACCCAAGAGATGCCCTATCTTATGACAAAAGCATTTGTTCAACTATGTTCATAGCAGCATTATTTGTAATAGCCAGAACCTGGAAACAACCTAGATGCCCTTCAATGGAAGAATGGATGAAGACAGTGTGGAATATATACATATTAGAGTACTACTCAGCGGTAAAAAACAATGACTTCGAGAATTTTGCATGCAAATGGATGGAAATAGAAAACACTATCTTGAGTGAGGTATCCCAGTCCCAAAAAGATGAACATGGGATGTACTCACTCATAATTGGTTTCGAGCCATAAATAAAGGACATTGAGCATATAATTTGTGATCCTAGAGAAGCTAAATAAGAAGGTGAACCCAAAGAAAAACGTATAGTCATCCGCCTGGATATGGGAAGTAGACAAGATTCCAGGGCAAAACCTGGGAACTTAGAGATGAGTTGGGATGGGGGTAAGGGTGAATGGGGTGAGAAACGTTAGAAGGGGAGAATGGGGGGGAGCTTGGGGGAATGGGATGGTTGGGATAAAGGAAGAGTGGACACGGTAGCAGAGAAATATATATCCTAATTAAGGGAGCCATCTTAGGGTTGGCAAGAGACTGGACTCTAGAGGTGCTCGCAGGTGTCCTGGGAGATGTCCCCGGCTAGTACCTTGAACAACTGAGGTGAGGGAACCTGAAATGACCCTATCCTATAGCCATACTGATGAATATCTTGCATATCACTTTAGAACCCTCATCTGGCGATGGATCGAGATAGAGACAGAGACCCAAATTGGAGCACCGGACTGAGCTCTTAAGATCCAAATGAGGAGCAGAAGGAGGGAGAACATGAGCAAGGAAGTCAGGACCGCAAGGGGTGCACCCACCCACTGTGACAGTGGAACTGATCTATTGGGAGCTCACCAAGGCCAGCAGGACTGGGACTGAATAAGCATGGGATGAAACCGGACTCTCTGAACATGGCAGACAATGAAGGCTGATGAGAAGCCAAGGACAATGGCACTAGGCTTTGATCCTAATACATGAACTGGCTTTGTGGGAGCCTAGCCTGTTTGGATGCTCACCCTCCTGGACCTGGATAAAAGTGGGAGGACCATGAACTTCCTACAGGGCAGGGAATCTGGACTGCTCTTCATTCTGGAGAGGAAGGGGGAATGGAGTGGGGGGTGGAGTGGGGGGAGGGGCGATGTGTGCGAGGAGGGGGAGGGAAATGGGAAAACTGTTTTTTTTTTTGCAACAACTAAAATAAAATAATAAAAAAAGGAAACTAGGGCATACATGGCTTTAAACAAACAAACAAACAAACAAAACAAAACAAAAAACCCCAAAACAACAACAATAACAACAAAAAAACCAAAGAAACCAAAATAAGAGCCCCCAGGAGCCAGTGAGGACTTGAAATACTCCAACTATGTATGAAGAAATTTTTTAAAAATAAATTTAAATAAATCAAATTTTTTTCTTAGTATTTAAAAATCAAAATGAAACAGCCACATTTATCCTTACACAAAACCAAATAAAAAGCAGGTTTCTTGGTCACTCTCTTAATTCACTGGGGGGAGGGGGAGTTCTACAATAATAAAAGCATTTCAGAAGTGCAACTCCGCCAGCTGTCACTCAATACAAGCCCTTCGCGTCCTGAGCCATCCAATACTCACACATTGTCTTCCAGGCAGATCTTGGGCCCCACAACATTGGCTGCTCCGCTGGCCATTTTAAAAGCAAAATGCTTCTCAGGGCATGCTTTTGAGATTCCGCATTTGTACCTGGGAGGCTTTGTTGCTTCAGGGAGAACAGAAATAGATTTGAGATTCCTTTAGAAATGGGACTAATAGGATTTCATAATCAGTTTGTTTCAGATTGCTAATAATACACAGAAATATATATTTTATATCACTATGGTATACTTAGTTAAGGGCTAGAGGGACAACTTGGCAATTAGGAGCACGGGCTGCTTTTCCACAGGACCCAGGTTCAATTCCCAGTGTCCACACGGTAATTATAGTTCCAAGGGATCACATACCCTTTCCTAGGCTCCTTGAGCACAACACATGTAATGTACATATGTACATGCAAAGCATCATACATATGAAAAATAATATAACAAGAGCAATACACATATTTAAAAATAAATACCCAATTTTTAAATCTCGAAAACTATCCCCCCACTAAGGGTATCAAAAAACCAAGCAAGGAAGAAAGGCAGGCAAGCCCCCTGAAATAAAAAGACACAAGGACGCAATTCAGACCCTCCTGGGGAATGAGCCAACTACTGAGAGAAATGGATTGTGCCATACGATCTTGCTGAGCAAGGCAGATCTTATTTAATTATCCTCCAAGTTATCTTTAAATTTCTGGGTGCCTGGGGCTTTTTAATTGCTCCTTTGCTTGTCTAGTACTTCAAAATCAGGATCAGTGAAAGCTCGGCCCTCCCACCCATCTAGGTCCAAGCTGCAGCTGGCTCTCCTCTTCAGTCTCGCGGGCTGTGCTCACAGCACAGGGCTACAACCCAACACAGAGTAAACACCCACTGGCAATGAAGATCCTATGATACAAGGCTATCCAATTAAATGACAGCTGTATAGTTTTAAAACTCAACTCATTGAGGGTTTGTTCACACAAACTGCCTGCATTGCTTGAAATAAGCCCCTCCTTACAGGGCATATACTGCGGTACTAAATAGAGAGCACTCATAAACCACCAAGCTGAGGGACTTACGGCGAGTGGCTGGGTCCAGCACAGATCGAGCTAAGAAGAGAAACAATTAACATCATTAGAAAACACAGGCTCATTGGAAGCTATCTACTTCAAACATAGTAAAGCTTCTACTAAGTCAAGGAAATGCATGTTCGGATGACTGCCAATACCAATACCACTTCAGAGAAGCAGTACCTTTCTGTTAATTCATTATGGACAAGTGTGTGTTGAAACCATGACGAGTAATGCTTTATTATGGAAAGATCATTTTAAACGTTGGGAGTTCTTTTGGAGGGGGTGAGACAGGTTTCTCTGTGTAGTCCTTGCTGTCCTGGAACTCATGCTGTAGACCAGGCTGGCCTTGAACTCACAGAGATCCACCTGCCTCTGCCTCCTGAGTACTCGTATTAAAGGTGTGCACCACCTGGTTCATTTTATAGTTTATATTTTGCTTAATTATTTACTACAAACTTAAATCCTACTCAGAAAGTTAGTCTAAAAATATACCTTTAAAAGACTGAGTGGATGGAGGGTGGGGTGGGGGAAGGGTGGGGCAGGAGGAGGGGAGTGGGAACAGGGAGGGACAGCTATGTAAAATGATAAAAGATTATATTTAAAAAAACTTAATAAAAAAGAAGAAAAAAGACTATTAACTGTGTTAGTGACCAATACCGTAACTAAATGCTGCTTGGCAGAGCTAGGCTGGGTACCCACACAGTCCTAGAGAATGTGTACAAATCTATCTTGGGGTTTGGTGAAGATTTGGGAGACCAAGAAGAAGGGGAGGGTGAATGCTGGGGAAATCTGAGTTTCTCCACAACAGAAGTGTGGAGTATATACTAAGAAGGGCCTAATGAAAAATCAGTGCTGTTCCTGAGAGTTTCTTGTTTCATTAGTTCAAGGAAGGGAAAAGGTCAACTCCTAACACCCACACTGGGTCTCAACTGTCCTCCTTCCCAATTACACTCTGTGCTCTGTAAATGCACCAGTGTCCAAGGGATTTGAACACAGACCATCAAAGTGCCATTGACAGCTGGTCTCTGATTTGACTAATAAGCACACAGTGTGATGGCTGCTGGCCAGCTGGCTAACTATAAATAGTCGCTTAGTTTGTACTTCTCTACGATTTCTGATAACTATGAATTTCCTGTAACCCCACTATTCAAATTATGGAACAGAAAGTCGAAGCTGAAAGAGAATATCTAGATGGTTAAAGAGAAGGGACCAAGCCAGTAGCTTCAGGACTCAGTAGAACACTTAGGAGAACATTCTGCACCGCTACTCACACAGCTGTAATATAGGGAAAGAGAGAAGCATGGAATATAGCCAAAAGAGCCTTCCCCATCTCTAGACCTTAAGGACACAGGTGATTCCCATGCAGAGAGATTTGAACAAGCAAATAGCAAAACAGAAAAGGGGAGGGGAGGAGGAGCATAGATTCAGGCGCTGGGTTTTCCTTGGCTCATTTGTTCCATTTCCTTATATAATTACAGAGATTTGATCCAATGCTTTCACTCTTTTTTAATGGGGAAACTAAACTGCAGGGCAGCATCATGAAGAATAGAAATTCTCAACTTCAGACTGTCTTTAAAAAGTAAACCTTTATTCCCAGCACTTGGGAGGCAGAGGCAGGTGGATCTCTGTTAGTTCAAGGCCAGCCTGGTCTACAGAGCTAGTTCCATGACAGCCAGGGCTGTCACACACAGAAACCCTGTCGCAAAAAATAAAACAAACAAACAAAAATGTTCTAAAAGGCAAAGAGACGAGATAGCAAAGTGGGAGGGGACTTGATACCAAGCTGGGCAGTAGCGCAGAATCTGATGGTATAAGGAGAGAACTGACTTTCACAGGTTGTCACAGGCGCACCTACTCTCATATACAGGTAGATAAGCACACACACACACACAGAGAGAAATGCAATTAAGAAAAAAAATTAGTCAGGCAATGGTGGTACAAACCCTGGTCAACAGAGTGAGTTCCAAGACAGTCAGTCAGGGCTACACTGAGAAACCCGGTCTCAAAAACAAGAGCATAAACAATCAAAAAAAAAAAACACCTAAATTAATTAATCAATAATTAAAGAAAAAGAAAAGAGTATATCCATCCGCCTACATCATTAGAAAGGAACACTGTGGAAATCAGGAATTTAGTCTCCCTGACCAGTGCTAGGCTGATCAGGTGACGGCTTACCTGATCTGAGGTAAGGACAGGGGGAGACAGTGGGATCTGGACAGGGCTGGCACAGCACCTCTCATTCCTATGAGCCGGCTGTGCCAAGCATGCCTGGGTGGTCTCTGCCATGGTCATCATGTCTCACAGAGATAAGGACAGTGAGGACAGAGCGCTTCACTGCTGCGTATGTGTTCGGTCATAAGTGTAATTGGTGGAGGTAGATTTTAGTTTATTTTTAATTTTTCAAGCCATTTGTTATGTATATATGTGTGTGTGTGTGTGTGTGTGTGTGTGTATATATATATATATGTATATATATATACACACATGCCAAGAGACGCGTGTGCAGACCTCAGAGAACAACTTAGAGGAGCCAGTTCTCTCCTTTCACCATGTGGATCAGGGATTGAACTGAAGTAGTCAGGCTTGACGGTGAGCGTATTTACTTGTGGAGCCATCTGACCAGTCCACAGTTGGCTTTGAAAACCATCTCATGTAGCATCCGGGCCATTGTACCACTTCCAAAGATGACTATATAAGTAAAAAGCACCAACCACACCCAGAGCAGAACAGAAAGCCAGGTTAGGGACCTTTGAGAATCTGACCAGAGAGGCTCAAGCCTGAGTCTATCTACAAAGACCCTGCTGATGTCATTGAGGATTTAAAAAAAAAAAGCCAGTTTTGTGGGAAGTAAATAAGAGAGGTGTTCACGGGACTTTCTAAAACAGACAGATACAGAGCTTTTAAGGAAACAACACAGACAGGGCTTAGGCTGGATGCAAAGGCAGGAATCAGGACGCTGGCTTAGCTCTGTAAATACACCTACATTCGCTCACACGAAGAAGTGATCAAAACACTTTCTCTGCACTCAAGACCTTTGTAACTATGTAAAGAGGTGTGTGTCTGTGTGTATGTGGACACCAGTGATGGGTTCTAACCACCATGTCTTAAGATACTTGGTGAAGATATAAGAGGAACAATATGGAGGCCAGCTAGAAATAAGACCTGGGAGTAAGACAGAAACTGGACTATGAGTGAACAGATAAGAACATCCAGGAAAGAAAGAATCCGAGGACATCAACATTCAAGTACTGACCAAGACAAGAAACTTAGGAGCCTGGATTGATGGACAGAGAGGCAAAGGCTATAAAATGATAAAAATCAGGGCTGGAGAGTTGACTCAGAGGTAAGAGCAGTTGTGATTGTTGCAGAGGATTTGGGTTTAATCCCCAGCACCACAAGGAGGCTCACCACCTCTGAGGGCAGCAAACACACATGTGGTGACCGAAGGACATGCAGGCTAACCACAAATATATGCAAAATACTAAAAAATGAATATTTTTTTTAAAAAATTTAAAGACCAAATGAGTTTGTTAAATTTCAGATGTCAAACCTGTACTTGCTATTTAACTAAAAACAATTTCATCGAAATCAGTTTGCTAGTCACCAGGCTTTCGGGTGAATATACCTCCATGGAACTAGTGTTAGTTGTTGAGTTGCTTGAAAGCCAAGAAACTCCTGGGAGGCACTTTATACAAAGGAAGGTTATTGTTATCCAGTACCCACCAAAACTGAAAGACAGCCCCTAGGCCTATAATTCTGAGAATGTGAGAGGCAAGCAGAGGAACAATTCTTCATTAATACAGGGTACGGCCAAAGTATCAGCAGAAGCACTAACTGGAAACACAACATCCCCCTCCCCACTGCAGGCTTTACTTCTGACTCTACTTGATAACCCCAATCTTTAATATCTTTCAGATAATACATCAAGGAATGGATACAAACCTGTCTGATTCATCAGACTTCAATGACGAATTGATGTCCTTTAGTTAAGTCAGACTGGAGAATTTAGAACTACTTTATACCAGCTTTTAATAATCTATGCATATACTATTCACCAATGGCTTAAATATCCAAGTGTAAAAATCAACAAGCCCGCAACATTCACTGCAGCAATATCTGCAGAGATGATCTGGACTGTGTTCAGTCCTGCACTAGCTGAATGTCCCTGCTGAAAACTAATACCGCATTAAACCACAGCCAGGAGCACGGCTGGCAAAGTGGACGCAAGTCTCCATCCTGCCCTGTCCATGACAGGTCCCAGTTCCCAAGATGTTACTCATGGGTGGAAGCAAGACAGGTATCTAGGGTCTCTGGTTGGTACTTCTTACAGAGTATGACTCTATAATTCCTTCGAGATTAAGTCTTGTTTAAAAAAAGAGGGTCTCTGTGTGTTTGGGGTGGGGTGTGCTGGGTTGGGGACTGAAATCTGGATGTGCCAAGCATCTAGCATTCTACCACTGGGCTACATCCCCATGCTAATATATTGCTTAGGGGTTTAGACTGTTTTAGTTGTTCCTCTTTGCCTTTTGTCTTTTAAATTTTATCTTTTTCTTTTAAATTATAACCTATCTTGGTAATTTAAATTATTAACTGTGGGCAAATTTTTCATTCTCCCTGTCTAGAAATGTCTGTTTTTTCTAAAACAATATAAAAATATAAAACAATATATATATAGTTTTATATTTAATGTTATATTTATATTTATATATAACAGTATATATATATAAAACAATATAAAAAGCCTGAGTCAACGAGCCAGGTTATCCCAATATTCAGGAGGCAGGGGCAAGCAGATATCTGAGATATCTGGTCTATAAAGTGAGTTTCAGGGCAGCCACGGTTACACAAAGGAACTTTTGTCTCGAAAAACAAACAAAAAAGCCTGAGTCAAAATGACCTGTCCAAGGAGCGGGTTTCTGATTCTTGTGTCTTCTTTGGACTGTTTCCTTTCTCTTGGTTTGCATCGTCAAACTTGGATGAGATGGATTTTGTTTTATCTTATTATCTTATACTTTATCAAGTTTGGCTATTATCTCTTAGACATTAGTTCTTTCCTAATGAGAGAAAGAAAAAGGTAGATCTGGTGGGAGGGGAGATAGAGAGGAACTGGGAGGAGCAGAGGGAGGGGAAAGTGTAGTCAGGATATATTGTGTGAGAAAAGAATATTTTCAACACACAGAGGGGGAAAAGGATCTGCTCAAGCTATTAAGTTATCACAAAGGGAAGTTAAAAAAAACTGACTTCTGAATGAACTGTAGTTAACCATACAGGTAATTAGAGACCAGGTCCCTGAAACCAACCTCTATGGATTCAACCTGATGACCTTTGCCAATTTAAATTGGATGCTAAATAAATGGTTAAGAGAACTAACATATTCTAACAAAAAATATAAAACAAGCCTGTGTTAATATTTTCACCAGTTCAATCTAGACCAGAATCCAACAAATAATATTTTATAAATGAAAACAAACACCTGTCCTAAACAGTGCCTAAACCAAGTAGGTAAAATACATGCAACATGGAACAGCAGAACGGAAATCAGGAGTCCAATGTTCCACTTAAAGTACTCGACAAGGACTCATCCTGATGGGAAAGGCAGCCTCTCATACCATATCCCAGACACTAACTTTGAAGAGTATTCAGACACGAAAGGTTGAGTGCTGTTGTGTAGGTGAATCTCGGGTTCAGAGAGAGCAGAAGTAAATTCAGTGTTCTGAGTTCCTCCTCAGGAAAACTCACTAACTCAAAGCCCTCAGTTTGTTTAATTCTGCCAACCAGAACAAGATGTTGCTTCTAGGATTCAGTCTCTTTTCAGGCTTTAGTCTGCAGCCAGAGTTCACCCTGTGTGAGCACAAGAACCCAGAAAACACAACCAGCTTCTTGAGCTTCCCACGACAGTGGATGGTCTCCAGGAGAGATCCGATATCAATTTTATACAGTGTGAGATAAATATAATCAGTTCCATTTCAATATATGAACCTTAGGTTCTATTTTTCACCCTCCTAATAATATACTTAAGGTCACGGATGTGGGTCAGTGCTACAGTACTTGCCTGGCACTTCACAAAACCTGGGCTTGACTACCAGTGCCTCAAAAGGGAAAGAAACTATAGGGTGAGCATTGTGGCGGTGCACACCTGTAATCCTTCCACTTGGGGACTAGGGTGAGGCAAGAGGATCACAAGTTGGCAGACAACAAGGCTGCACAGTGAATTCTGAAATAGCCTACCATGCCAGAGGAAAACCCTGGTACACTTTCAGAATAGAAACATCTGAAAATCAGTAAGACAGAGAAGTATCTAAAATAAGCATTAAATATAACTGGTTCCACTTTATTAACTGAAGGGTTGTGTTTAAAACTGAGTTGGGAGTGTAGCACAACACTTGTCTAGCATGTGCAGGGCACTGAGATGGATCCCTAGCACTGAAAACCATATTTGAGTTAACGTACCTTATACAGGTACATTTACAACATAAAAACACCATATAATGGGCCAAAATGAAAATCCCAGAGAAAAGAAAAAGAACGTTAAGGACCAACATGTACAACATATTTCTCTGACTCTTATAAAGTAGATGTGAGTCCATTTTCTAGCAGCTAACTCAAAGGCAGAAACAATCCAAACACTCCAGTGTGGTGTTTTCCAGAAGGAGCTCTTAAGAGTCGTGATTGATGCTTCTCATTGCCGGGTAGCAGAGTCACTAAAGATGCTCAAAATGTCAGACAGAGAACCGACTGTTTCATACCAGCTTTATCCTTAAACCCGCTATATTTTTTAGAATATTGTAATGAGTGACATTTGTTCACATAATAATTCTTTCTCTACATGGACAAAGCAGCAGTGAATTCATGCTAAGAACTTACACATGTTAAGAATCTGGGCCTGGGGAGACGGCTCCCAGGGGAAGAGCACTGGCCGCCCTTTCTGACTACCCAGGTTCCACTCGCAGCACACACACACAAACTCACAACTGCCTGCAAACTCAAGTTCCAGGGAATCCGATGCCCTCTTCTGGCCTCTGAGGGCACCAAGCATGTACAGGACACATGTCCCACCCTCTTTAAAGCTAGGAGAACATCACGGAAGAGGGCACAGAAAGAATTTAGGGGGCCGGGGCTGACAAGTGCTGTTTCCCAGACATAACATGGCTGTGGCTCTCAAGGAATCCATCAGCTGTGATTACCAGCACAAAACCATGCCTGTCAACACTCCATCATGGATGGGGAGGAGTCTGCAAGATAATACTCCTCCCTGAGCACCCACTGGAATTTAACTGCTACAGTAGAAGGGAGAGCCATTTTCTTCAGCGGTGTAGGTGCCCATGCTCCAGTAAACAGCCCTAAACTCACGCCCATGTGAGTAAGCCTGAACTGAATGAGTTGAAAAACACAAAGACGTGAAACTACAAGGGACGTGTGGAGGCAATGGGAGCAGTAGGGGGAGGGTACATGGGGAGGGGGTGAAACTTACCAAATAGATTTCCTAAGCTTGCATCCATTTTAATTTCAAATACTTGAGAAATAACATAAAATGTCAATAGAAATACTGCCACAGCCACCACCAACTTTGCAGCTCCTAGAAAAAAGGCAGAAGTAACTCAGCATGGTTTTATAAGACAACAGAATTCCTGCTACACAAACACTACGCTTCTACAAAATCATTAAGACGAATACAGTCCTGTTTTATAATCTCTAGATCTTAATGTTACTGGATTTATAATGACTGTATGATACCCACAATCACAGGACTCTCAGACACAAGCCAAGGCGACTGGCGGGGAGGAGGTTTACCTTGCACCAGCTGCTGGCTGACCACAGGTGTCCTGGGGAGTGGAGCACCACCAGCATACCTAGAAGACTAGGAGCTCCTAGTCCTCTCCAGATCCCCTCTGGGTGTTGGGAGCTGTGAAGCCCCCAGGTCCTGAATTCCTGGTAAACAACGTGTTCTGCTTGCAGCTGCTCTGAGCACAAGACGCTCAGGAGTTCCTGATGGCAGGAAGAGTGGTTTCTGGTGGATTTGGCTGGGGCGTGGCTATCAGTTAAGGATCCCTATATAAGCTGCCCCTGGACACAATAAAGGGGGCATTTCTGTTTCAAGGATGGCCCAGGTCTCTGTCTGTGTGTCTTTGTGTGTTTAAATCTCCAGGCTCTTGCCCATTTCACGAACTGTACATTGGTGCATAGACAGGCGTGGTGTGCTGCATCTGGAGATGACACAAAACACTAAACTTGGAGATAGATGCCAAGGCCAGGACACCCAGGAAATAAGGAGCGGGCGTGAAATACAGCACGCTTACTAACCTATCACCAACCCATCACCTGGAGCTCTCTGACCCCAAGGGGAACTGCAAACACTACCTAGTTTAAGGCAGGACTTTGCCCCTGGAGGACAGCTGACATAGTGACCGACTATGTGGTAAGCACATCCCTCCACTTTAGACTTTGTTTCTTTACGATGCTATCAGGGCCACATCTGCTTAGGATGAATCATCTCTGACTCCTTTTCTCCCAGGTACTCAGTCTAAGAAACATACCACAAAGGGCAAGGTAAGACAGGAAGGGAACAATGGCAGAACCACAGTTTCCCTCTCCATCTCTGGATTTCACAGCCATGACGTGCTTCTTAACAGTACTAGTAATTCACATCTACACAAGCGTAATAGTCCAGGTTGAATCTCTCCTGATATGAAACAGATAGAATCAGCAAACATCTAACCTTAAAGAGAGAAAAAAAAAATCCCAGAAATAAGTAACGCTTGATGATTACAGATTCACCAGTGGTTGCACGAGAACCAGAACTCAAGTCTGCACCCCAAAACCTAGTGACCTGTGCAGTATATCATTCTAAATGACACACTCTTCAGGGGAAAGGGGCAATGCCAAGCTCAATATAGTAGGTAAGGAAGAATTAAAAAGAAAATCCTCTAATCTCATAGACCCCAAGGAATAGTCTATATCCTCAGAGGGGAGGGCCAGGAAGAAACGGAAGATGGGAAGATGCTTGCAAAGCCCGGGGAGGCTGAAAGGCTGCCACACCCAGAGCCTCCTCAGCACTAGAGATTCTCTCTATTCATAGCTACACGTAAGGTAACAAGAAAAATCTCTGCATCTTCCTTCCAATCTGGCTGTGAATCTGGAACTGCTCTAAAAAACAAAGCCCTAAGGAATTCTATTAGTACAAGAACCAAGTGGCAATGAGGACAGCCAGCTAATCTCTTCTCGCCTCCGTTGCCTCACTCCTTCCGTCCAAAGGTGGCTTCCTGTTCCTTACAGCAACTACTAGCTAGCTACCTACAATCTTAGCATAGAAGAGCAAAAGCTCCCTCTCCCAGGAGCGTCCCATAGAAAGCATGTTCTCAATACATATATGTTCAACAGATGAATGACAGCAGGGGGCACACAGTGTTCTCGTCGTGTAAGACTGAGCCAGGAGGCTTGAAGGTGACAAGCCGCAAGCTAGTCTCTGTTTTCCAGCAGTCATGGGCATGTATAAGAGGGGATGCGCCCTCGCTGCCCTCTAAAACAGAGAAATGAAACTTGCCTTGTTCTTGCATATAGGGTCTTATCAGCGGTGGTAGCGGGGGGATGAGGGGGTCTTTTCTTTCATAAGATTTGCATAAATTGTGTATTTTATTTTGCCTGTGTATGCATATGGAAGTGTATGCCTGGTGCCCATGGAAGTCAGAAGACAGGGTCACATCCCCTGAACTAGTTACAGACAGTTGTGAGTCACTGTGTGGGTACTGGGAACTGAACCTCCTCGGTCCTCTGCAGAAAGAACATAGATACGTGCTCAAACCCTCTGGTCCATCTCTCTAGCCCCAGCACCGTCTTAAACCAGGACCTGTTCATTTACACTGGAATGGAACAAGGAAGAAACAGACACGCCAAGAAACAGAAGTTAGCAGCAGACACATGTAGTCTCTACAGTGGGAAGAGCGCAGGAGCCTGCTACAGAATACGGTCTCTAGGGTTGGTCCCAAAGTCCAATGCCAGCCTTGGAGGAGATCACCATATCGCACCAATGCCAGCCTTGGAGGAGATCACCATATCGCACCAATGCCAGCCTTGGAGGAGATCACCATATCGCACCAATGCCAGCCTTGGAGGGGATCACCATATAGCACCAATGCCAGCCTTGGAGATCACCATATAGCACCAATGCCAGCCTTGGAGGGGATCACCATATCGCACCAACGCCAGCCTTGGAGGGGATCACCATATCGCACCAACGCCAGCCTTGGAGGAGATCACCATATCGCACCAACGCCAGCCTTGGAGGGGATCACCATATCGCACCAATGCCAGCCTTGGAGGGGATCACCATATCGCACCAATGCCAGCCTTGGAGGGGATCACCATATCGCACCAATGCCAGCCTTGGAGGGGATCACCATATCGCACCAATGCCAGCCTTGGAGGGGATCACCGTATCGCACCAATGCCAGCCATGGAGGGGATCACCATATCGCACCAATGCCAGCCTTGGAGGAGATCACCGTATCGCACCAATGCCAGCCTTGGAGGGGATCACCATATCGCACCAATGCCAGCCTTGGAGGGGATCACCGTATCGCACCAATGCCAGCCTTGGAGGGGATCACCGTATCGCACCAATGCCAGCCTTGGAGGAGATCACCATATCGCACCAATGCCAACCTTGGAGGGGATCACCGTATCGCACCAATGCCAGCCTTGGAGGGGATCACCGTATCGCACCAATGCCAGCCTTGGAGAGATCACCGTATCGCACCAATGCCAGCCTTGGAGGAGATCACCATATCGCACCACAACACCCATTCCTGGCATGGTGTGTCATTCCTCTTCCTTCAGTCACTGACAGCACTGCTTTGAGTTTGTTCCTACGTTTATAAACTAAAGATCATAGGCTACGTGAGCAACCAGATACTATTCATTTAGAAGATATTAATTAGTTCAAAGCTGTGAACTAATAATAACTAATCTTCCTTATTTGCCCATTAAAGGCAGCCCCCTCTCCAAGATATATGCCAAGAAAGGGCAAACATAAAAGCTAGATGGCAAAGTTAATTTTCCTGAAAATGAATTTAGAATTATGTGCAAAACAAGAACTTGCTTTGGTTAGCACACTTAAACAGCGCATTTAAAAATCCTCAGGGGACCACAGTTATACATCGTCCTGTTGACCCCAAGAGCATCCAGAAACGAAAAGCAAAGCCAACGAGAGTTCCACGTTTTAAAAACAAGCAAGCTCTTGGTTTCTGGAATCTTCTTCCCACACAAGTGTCACTTCACAGCAAAGAGAATTCGATTTTTCAAATTTCTACGAAAGCATTCCCAGCAAGCATTGGTTAATCTGGTTTCAGTAATCTCGGTGTTTGATCAGCTCTGTTAGAGTCTATACAACTGTACGGAAACTAAGAAGAGGGATTTTTGTCCCTTTGCTTCGGCCTCTGGCATCTCTGAGAGGTGACTCTATGAAAAAAAAATACTTCTAAGAAAATGGCAATTAAAAATAAGACTAATTATCACGATTTTGGAGGAGCAACCTGTTCACGCGCATTTAGTGGAATTCCTCAGAGCAATGTGCCTTTAGGGGTGGGGAAGCTATGGCTGGAGGCCGTATAGCAGAAACACATGTATTTTCACTTTCAGGTCCAGAAAGGGGAACTGACGTTTATGGGTCCACCCCCTAAAGACACTTATCAATGCTGACATTAGTACTACGGCCATCTAGTAAGGCCTTTCAATGTCTATAACACGCTACTTCAGACTGCCGTTCGTGTTCTGGATTTATACGTAGACTAAGAATTCAAAGCCAAACCACACTTTAGTAAATTCTCCACGTATGTCACACTTGACTGCACACCGGAAAGAGTTCTATTTTAGAATTTCTTTTTTCTTGATCCCCAGAACTTAGCAAGGAAAAGTAAGTCTCTTTACATTTTAAAAACCATTCTCTGAGTATTTTATATGTACTGTTAGACAAATAAGCTTACCACACAAAAATAAACATTAATATTTGGAATAATTTCAGTAAGAAGTTCATCTACAAAAATCCATGTAATGCATACGTGAGATTTGTTGACTATGTAGAACAAGAAAGGCTAAGCATGATTTAATTTACTTTAGCCTGGTACTTAACTTTCACAGACATTACATAGCGGCACCTGCATATAATCTCTGAGGCAGGAAGACAGCTTGAACCAGCTTAGACTGGGAAGCAAGACCCACCACAAAAGGGGGATTGGGGAGAGGAGGATGAAGAAGAATCAATGAATTATGAACCCCCTCCTTTAGTCATTATTGAGCAAACAAGTTATAAAATAAATTATAAAATGAAAAATTAGTTTCACTGGATTAAATGTCTTACCTGCTATCCTCATTTTTGCTTATCCAGCCTAGGGCACGTCTCAGAAATAAGGTCCTAATATCAAAAGAAAAAGACAAACACCATGAATTATACAATGAATATTTCTCTTTAGATTATTTGAGAATGTATACATGAAGCCAATTAAGTAAATACCATGATATGTCTAAGTATTTATTCTATGAATACCAAGGATTAATGAAAAAAACTCTTTAATACTGGCCACTCCTTCCACTGGCCATTAAAAAAAGATAGCTAAAAAGAGCTGCCTCGCTTGCGCCTCCCATGGGCCGTGTCCTTTGCTCCCGTGTACCCGTGTCTACACATGATAACTATTATGCTCGGAGATGACACATCCTTCGGGAGCTTACTACATTTAGATTCAAACACTGGTTAGCATATCACTTCACACTGAAGTTTCCACTTCACACAAAAGGGGGGCAGGGAGCCCTTTGGCTTCTCAAGAGAACTCTGTCCGACAGGTCATAAATCTTTGGCTTGCCAGGGGAACTGAACTCTGCATTCACAACACACACATGCCCTTCCTTCCCCTTTCATATGCCCAAAGAATCCCACTCCTATCTGAGTGTGGCCTAGGAAAGCGTCTTTGAAAATGTGATAAGCAGTTGGGAACCAGACACCTGCTGTTCTCCTTCGGCTTCTGTTGCAGGGGGAGACTCACACCTGCATTACAGTCGCCAGCCCTTCTGCTTCTGAAATCATCACAGGCCGCAGCTCATCGCAGCAACTACATTTGTGAATTTACAATGGTTCTCCATTAAAATATCGTAGGGGATTAACATTTAGGAAAATTTCTATATTAAAATCCCATCAAAGTGCCTCGGTCATTAACACATCTTTAATTGATTTCCTTAATTAACTCTCTTGCATCTTTAATGATGCAAAAGTGTAAATCCGAAGAGCAGGAGTATGGGAAGAGATTTGAGGGCAAAGTATGGCATGTGTTTATGATGTGCTAATTCTAAACCTAGCCTGGCTGTTTAGAGAGCATTTGGGGACTTATTACAATCTGGGGCAGTGGAAGAAACAGCTCGTGAAGACTTCAGGCAGTCAAGAAGGGACAGGTTCAGAGGCCATGAACACAACACTGAAGGAATAAAAAGGCCTCAGGCTAAAAGCTCAGAATGCTAATCTACGCACTTAGGAAGAGGTTAGAGATACAAACAAAAAATAGAACTCCCCAAAACCAGAATATTAGTAACAGAATATTCTTGAACATGTAAATATTCAAGATAGGATACTTAATAAATTCAACACTCCAAAAGTGTAAGGCTAGATCAAAAGAGGTCTCAGCATTTTAGATGGACAGAGACGCTAAATGAAAGGTGCAGTGTCACCTGAAGGTCAAAGCAGGGAGGGCCACACTGCCCCCTGGCCGAAGGAGCAGAGGCCTAAAGAAAAGGGGATCCTAAAGCAGGAACTAGGAGGGGCCAACCCCACTTATCTGGCTGGTCCTCATTTCAACACTTCCTTTGGCCCAACTACAGGGCTTTGTCCAATTTAATAAAATTTTGTTACTCAAAATTGGTCTGCTATGTGAATATGGAGAACCTGTCTAGAATTCATTAAAACAAGAACCAACAGTAATGAAAGCGCAGATCAAATGACTTTCCCATTTCTTCCCAGAGAAAACAGGCCAGAAAAACAGTTATCAAGAAGGGCTGTCTTTCCGTTATCTTCCCACCAGCTCTCCAGCTGCCCAGGCTATTGGGGTGGCCTTACAAGGGAGGAAGAGGGGTTTGTCTATTGTCCTGAGAAGAGCAGGGACGCTCACAAAGAAAGCCTGTTCCATTTCTCCTCCTGCACACTGACGTACTCAGGTATAACAGTTTGTGGACAAATACCATGTCAATCAAATTGGCTTTTGCAAATTGATCTGGGAATCGAGGCTCTCTGCTGCAAACTAGCCACTTCAGAGATCTGACAGCTTGTCAAACTGACTTAAGTTTGAGTGTTGGAAACCCCACTACCACACCTCAAGACTAAAATGATGCAAGAAAACATGCATTCAAATAAATAAAGTAGTAAAATACTAAAAATAAAATTAATCCAGCCAAAAGAAAATATGAGATTGAAATGAAGTTTATGCCCTGGCAATGCTGAAGCAAACATGGGCGGCCCGTATATGGCGGTTCTGTTGAACTTGTCTGTATTGGGTTTCACGGTCTAAGTTGATGAGGACCACTGACCAGGTCTCTTCCTCAAGGGGGCGCCAGATCTCATTACAGATGGTTGTGAGCCACCATGTGATTGCTGGGGATTGAACTCAGGACCTTTGGAAGAGCCAGCAGTGCCCTTAACCACTGAGCCATCACAAAACAGAGAATCACTATTTACTTTAATGCAATGTTAAGTCAGTGCTGGCCAAATCACAATTTTAACCAAAACCAACTAAATTCAGATGGTTCCAATATTTAAGTCGGCTGGGGCTTTTCTTTTGTAACTTCATTCTTCTATTGTATGTATGTATGTTCTGTATATATGTACATGCATGGCCCACAGAGTTCAGAAGACAGTGTCTGATCCCCTGGAACAGGAGTTACAGAAGACTGTGAGCCACCTGTGGTTGCTGGTGTGTGAACCCAGTTCCTCTGTAAGAACAAGTACTCTTAACCCCTGAGCTACCTTTCGAGCCCCTGGGGAGCAGGAGCTTCTCAAGAGACTTAAGCTACAAAAGACTTGTCTGTGATGGGGAATTTCATGTGCCAACCTGACAGGGCCACAAGCTGCCTGTAAGTAAGCACCATTTCGGGTGTGCTGGAAGGACCTTCCTGGATGGTTAGCAATCAAATCTAGAACGAGGGAAGCAAAGTGCCTTCCTCAGTGGGAATCCTATCCAGACACGACAACCCAGGTGCTGATAAGTATCTCCTTGTACCTGTGAGCGTCCATAGTTCCTGACCCCAAATCCATCCCATTAGGCAGGGAGTAAGAACTATCTAGTAATCTGTTGGCCTAGATAGCTTCTCCCTTGCAAAAGATAGAAACCTAATCTACCTTTCTGTGTTGATGTAGCTAGCCACAAATAACTTTTCTGTGCAGCTTTGTCTGTTAGGTTAGAAGGTCCTCCTCAGGCCTGAGGATGCTGCAGAGGCCAAGATGAATGGGGGTGGGGGGAACCCCATACAGTCTACGGGCACTAGTTCATTTCCTTTTTGTCCAACCACATTTCCACACAGCTGTACACGCTTCAGTCATGACTATGTAATGAATTCTCAGGACAGGGCCCAGAAGGCTTCCACAAGGCCCAGTGCTGAGGCTCCCGGGGAATGGTACACCAAAAGATGGCCGGGACTGCCCCTGCTTCCCACACCACAGCCTCTCCATCTGTTCACCAGCGTAGATTCTAACAGCCTAATAGTTTCTAATGCCGTGAACATTTCGTATAAACCACTCAGATTACTAGAGCCTCGGGGAGGGGTTGTAGGGGTCCCAGTTTATAACTGGTCCAGCAGACCCGAATATAAAATAGCAGCCGGGACTTGTAATTGGCATCTCAAGTGGGGAGGTAGTCTAGAGACTAAGCCCTCAACCCAGGAGACCTGACACTGTCTCCAAGTAGATGGGAGGCCACCCACCTGGAAACTGATGCCAAACTCACTTGTTTTCTGGCTGGCAGGAACTCCCATCACCCTCCAAGGACACATCTTTTGCATTTATCCTGGTATCTGAGTAGAAGAAGAAACACTGCCTTTTCTAATAGGGAGACAATGCTCTCTGCCTGTCTTTAGGCTGGGAGAACGGTGCACAAGGGTGCAAAACCTGGATCTCTCAGCCTCTGGAAAGGTGTGAGTCCATTTCTTCCAATAAATTGCAACATACATACAATAAATAATATAGCTCCAGAAATGTAGATAGCTTATTACACACAATACATACATTTCTTTTTATCCACATACACACATACATATATTTGCATATGTACCTATCTATCACCTATACATCAGTTAATTTTTCAGGCAAACTTGGACTGATGATCAGGAGGTGAAAAACCAAGTTTTCACCCTCTGAGCATTTACTGCACAAGAGAAAAATGGATTGGTACTGAGAGCAGAAGGAGCTACATCTAGAGGACTCACTAGGGTAAGCTGTTCTGCCAACTACACACAGAAGCGCACTGTTAAACACACTGTTAAAGACAGCGGCCCAGTATTCGGGAGGCAGAGGCAAGCAGATCTCTGTTCTTCACAGTGAGTCCCAGGACAGTTAGAGCTAAATAGTGAGATCCTGTCTCAAAAAGAAAGACAGAGAAAAAGGGAAAAAAATGGAAACACACACACACACTGCAATACCATACAGCACTATACATGTGACTACTGCCAGGCAAAAGCCCAGAAACTTTCCTTCTATGTAAAAGGACCAGACAGAACCAGACCGAAAATATGCTTTGGCTTCAAAGGCCACAATTTCTATCCCAACTCTATACCCATAGCTGGATGAGATGAAGATGGATGGTCCAACTGCATTGTGGCTTTGGGTTTTTACTGTTGTTCTTGAGTTAGGGTCTTACCAGATAGACCAGGCTGGCCTAAAACTTACTACGTAGACCAGGCTGACCTCGAATTAAAGAGATCTGCCTGGCTCTGCCTCCCAAGTGCATCACCAGGTCTGACGCAACTGTGCTTTAATAAAACTTTATGGACAACGAAATATTAAAATTTTATTTTTCAACCTACTCTGAAAAGTGGTCCTGGCCGGAAGACCACACAGGACTACGCATCTGATTAGCTGAGCCTCAATAAAGAGTAATACATTTTTTTTATTAGAGAAAAATAAAACAGAAGACTGAAAAACTTCCATAATAGTACCTAAATAGTGGAACATTTTTTTTTTGCTAGATTATTTGGAGAGTAATCCAAATATAATCTGCTTCTGCAAATCATCTTAGAAGAGAGGCCTGTTGCGGAAAAGTGTTGACCAAATTCTGTGCCCGACCAGACATTTCATCAGCATGGACCCATGAGAAGCAGAACAAATCCCTTCAAATGGAAACACCGTTACTTCCTATAGCAGGAGCTATATGCAACAAAGGCAAC